TAGCAGTGCTATCAAACCTTCTTTTCATTGATTCACTGCACGGGATTGTGCATAGTTATCACAATCCGAGATCACTTAATGCTATCGGAGTAACTAATTATACATTTGATAGCATGTTATAGTGTGAGTTTTGTTGCTCTGAAACTGTTGCACTGTGGTTCACTATGTGATAGTTGGCTTTGGATCTTTTGGTTGTTTTGGTCATAGTCCTTGTGTGACTTAGCAGTGTCTCTTCATCCTCGCTTTGCGCAATTATTTAATGTTCGTTAGCAATAGTGTGCACTGTATGCGCTAATTTTGTTCTGAATGTAGAGTGATGATTTGGAAAAGAAATGCGCAAAGCACAAGTGTGCGTTTAAAGACTCGTAACTGGACTTAAGTCTGCTGCAGGACTTAGTTTGCAGACAATTACTTTTTAGTGGTTCAGACTCGTAGGAGTGCTCTGAGCTATAAACCCTTGAAACTAATCGACGCGGGATGGTCTGGTGTTGTCTGCTAATTTTGGTGCGGCGGCACTTGTGACATCAGTAGATTTTTCGCTTTTCCATTGTGCTAGATCTTCATTAACAACAAATTTGTCAATAGTCTGTCGGGTAAGACATTTGGAGTGGTGGATCCGTCAACGGAAAAGGAGGTGTGTTGTGTGGCGGAAGGGGACGCGGCCGACATTGATAGTGCAGTGAAAGCGGCTAGGGCGGCCTTTCTTCGTGATTCACCATGGCGTTGCATGGATGCTTCGCAGCGTGGTCGACTGCTTTATCGTCTGGCCGACGCCCTCGCTGCCAACGTAGACTACCTCAGTCAGTTGGAGGCCTTGGATGCTGGCAAACCTTTGGAATCGGCTCGGGGAGATGTGGATTTCGCCATAGACACCGTTCGCTACTATGCGGGTTATGCGGATAAAATCCATGGCAAGGTAGTTCGTTAGTCGTTTTATTTTGGCGTCATTTTCATTTGCGGCAAATGCTAGGGCGTTTTGGTCAGTCTGTGCTTTGGGTGGGATGTTCACCCGCAAAGCATGGTCTCTAGAAGAGATTATTGAATTAGGTATGCAAATTGCTGTGAATGATGAAGAAGTGCACGCTTTTTTGACAAGGATGATGTAATAACTTTGGTACGCAGAACTGGTGACTTGTTTCTGTTTGCGCATCACTTTTTGAAGCTCGATTGTTTTGACGATGCGTGGTGTGAAGACGGATTTTTTTTCTGCCGTAAAGGAAACGAGAGGCGAGCTGAGTTGAGGTCAGTCAGGTTATGGGGCGCATAGTTGGCAGGGTATCTAGAGAAGTTTAAATTTACACACAGATGTAGACAGAATAAAAATGATTTGGAGGTGGGTGAGTTGCTGGCATGAGTGTGGAAGGTGAAGTGGTGGGGTGATCTGTTGGTTTTAGGTGATTCCTTGCAACGGGGACGTCATTTGCTACACCCGGAGGGAGCCAGTTGGGGTGGTGGGGGCCATAATTCCCTGGAATTACCCGCTGGATTTGATTGCGATGAAGGTGGCGCCAGCGTTGTGCGCTGGGTGCTGCATTATTGTCAAACCAGCCGAGGAGACTCCACTTAGCGCACTCTTCTTTGCGCATTTGGTTGAACAAATAGGTGAGTTACAAAGTCGCATCATTTCTGTATTGAGAACAGTTCAACGTAGTGAAGAATGCAAGGTGCTGAAGGTAGTGATGTACATTGTTTAAGTGGTGGTAGTAGTCACTCAATGAATGTGGTGTTCGTGTGGAAGTTCTTTT